TCCAGGAGATGTCTCTACTAATTATTTCAGGAGATCTCATTAAAATTTTAAAACAAAATGGTTTTAAACTAAAACTCAAATTGTGCCTGGCTTTTCTTCTAAAATCGATTATGCAATTTACTTTAAAAACATATTAACTGATATAATAAACCAACATTTATCGAACATCTACTGTATTTTTATGCAAATAACATGTGCCTTCTATGTTTGTTTGCCAACTGTGCCCTCCCCCTGAGATATTTTTATAAGTGAGCTATGCTAATTTTCTTTCTTCTCTTTTTTACAGCAATATGTAAAAAAAAAAAAAAAATTGGCATAGCAGCACTTATGAAAATACCTTGCAGGGGGAGGGCACAGTTGGCAAACAAATGTAGAAGACGCGCATTATTTGCGTAAAAACGGCTGCTAACCAAAAGGTCATCAGTTTGAATCCACCAGCTAGCTGCTCCTCGGAAACCGAATGCGGCAGTTCTACTCTGTCCTATAGGGTTCCTATGAGTTGTAATAGACACAGTGTCAACAGGTTTGGGTTTTTTATGCCAGGCACTGTGTGATGAACTTTGAATTCATTTTCTCATTTTAACTTCATACGACTCATTGGATAGCAACAGACAACTCATAAAATTTTTCAGTAGCTTTCTAATGTATTAACAGCAATACAGTACTCAAAATCAGAGGGTTTAAAAACTAAGGCTTTTGATAATCATTAAAAAATGATCTTTTTGAAGAATATTTGATAAGAAAATATTCAGGCTATATTGTGAGCAGCCATCTAAGATACTTCACTGGTCCCACCCTGTCTGGAGCAAAGGAGAATGAAGAAAACCAGACACAAGGGAAAGATTAGTGCAAAGGACCAATGGACCACAACTACCACAGACTTCACCAGACTGAGTCCAGCACAGCTATATGGTGCCCGGCTACCACCACCGGCTGCTCTGACAGGGATCACAACAGAGGGTCCCAGACAGAGCTGGAGAAAAATGTAGAACAAAACAAAAATTTTTTTTTTATTGTGCTTTAAGTGAAAGTTTACAGTTCAAGTCAGTTTCTCATACAAAAATGTATACACACATTGCTATGTGACCCTAGCTGCTCCTCCTATAACATGGCAGCACACTCCTCCTTTCCACTCCAGATTTCCTGTGTCCATTCAACAAGCTCCTGTCCCTTTTTGCCTTCTCATCTTGCCTCTGGACAGGAGCTGCCCATTTAGTCTCATCTATCTACCTGAGCTAAGAAGCACTCTCGTCACGAGTATCATTTTATGTCCCACAGTCCAGTCTAATCTTTGTCTGAAGAGTTGGCTTTGGGAATGGCTTTAGTTTTGGGCTAACAGAGAGTCTGGGGGCCATGTCTTCCGGGGTCCCTCCAGTCTCAGTCAGACTATTAAGTCTGGTCTTTTTGCTAGAATTTGAGTTCTGCACCTCACTTTTCTCCTGCTCCATCAGGGATTCTCTGTTGTGTGCCCTGGCAGGGCAGTCATTAGAGTAGCCGGGCACCATCTAGTTCTTCTGGTCTCAGGCTGATGGAGTCTCTGGTTTATGTGGCCCTTTCTGTCTCTTGGGCTAATATTTTCCTTGTGTGTTTGGTGTTCTTCATTCTCCTTTGCTCCAGGTGGGCTGGGACCAATTGATGTATCTTAGATGGCTGCTCGCTAGCTTTTAAGACCCCAGACGCCACTCACCAAAGTGGGATGCAGAACATTTTCTTAATAAACTTTGTTATGCCAGTTGACCTACTCTGTCCCTCAAAGTGCTTGGTGGTATTCAGGAAACTTCTTAGGTTTTGGTTAGAACAAGATTTTAACTCACAAAAAAAAAGACCAGACTTACTGGTCTTACAGAGACTGGAGAAACCCCAAGAGTACGGCCCCTAGACACCCTTTAAACTCAGTACTGAAGTCACTCCTGAGGTCCACCCTCCAGCCAAAGATTCAACAGGCCCATAAAAGAAAACGAGACTAAATGGGGACACTAGCCCAGAGGCAAGGACGAGAAGGCAGGAGGGGATAGGAAAGCTGGTAACAGGGAATCCAAGGTCGAGAAGGGGAGAGTGTTGATACGTCATGGGGTTGGTAACCAACGTCACAAAACAATACGTGTACTAACTGTTTAATAAGAAACTAATGTGCTCTGTAAACCTTCATCTAAAATATAACTTAAAAAAAATACTCAGGATATAATTCTAAGATAATAAACTACTAAATTACATAATATCTTAAACTTGTTAAAAAATACATGTATCTGTGTAAATTTTTGAAGGTTATCTTTGTGTGGTAAGATTATCAGTAGTTTCCTTAATTTTCTAATCAGAAAACCCCCTCCAATTAAATGTTATCCTAAAAATGTCTAAATGTTTGGAAAATATATGATATTTTAAATCAAATTTAGTATGAACAGAATATATTGTATAGTAGTTGGGAAATAAGTTTCTGTGAAATTTTAATATATTTTGGTATAAGCTGATGTATAATGAAAACTATATTACACAAATATTTCATTTGCTGCTCTGCGTTGTTTTAGAATTCACCTTAAGTTTCTACTGCTTTAATTTCAAATGTGAAGGATTAAATACAGATTGTTTGAAAGGCCATATTGATTTCATGTTAAATTACACGCAAAGAAAGCATAAAACCATTTGCCTTCTTTACAATATCCATTAATGATGATAATTGTGGATTCTACAAACTTCAGAAATGCATCAGATTCTGAAACTGGTATCTTCTGTGTCTCAGGTCAATTTTGTGCATGCAGTAGGCACTCGGTAAAAGTCATTGAATGAATGAAGGAATGTGTAAATGAAATAAGATGTCCTCTTTGGATATCTAGACTTTCTCCTCTCTCAGTTTAGATGACCTGAGAAGCACTTCCTCAAAATAACCCTCTGGTTCACCATGAGAAGAATGCCTGGCACCACCTGGCAAGAGATATTAATAGCATGCCCATTAGGCACTTGTTCAAGTCACATAGATAGCCTGGTGATAGAATCTTTAGAAATATTTGGACAGTTAGATTATTCAGAATATGAATCAGTTGTGGTTCCCCAAATCTTCACTCTGAATATTAAGAAATCAACTGCTGTTTTTGGAAATTCATAAAAAATAGAAAGGTAATGGCAATCATTGTTTTCAATTTTAGAAGAACTCAGCATTTGGGGCTAAAGAAAGAAAGCTTATGTCAGCAAAATTATTTTTTTTTCCCCTTGTGGCAAAGATTATTTTGGAGAGAATCTAGATACCAAAATAGAGAAGAAAATGGACATCTTCCTTCAAACTTCATTTTTTTAGTATTTTAGCTATCATTTACCATGATACAGAAGTCCCGTACCCATAAAACTATGTTACTAAATCTTCCCTAGGTAACATCATGCTAAAAAACAAAGATATGTATGCTAAAAATTACAAAATATCCTAGGCGATCCTACTGACCTTTGGAGGGACTACAAGGACCCTGGAAATGGGATGGAACTACAGCTGATTTCTTAAATAACATACAATTTAGACATACATGCATCTTCACCAGAGAGAATTAACCATTCCAGCTACAAATTGATACTTTTTAGTTATCTATCCTTTATCTCAATTTGGCAGATATTTAGTCTAACCAGCAAGAGATACAAGTTCTAAGCATCCTTTTGCTACCTCCCATAAAATGTTCATGTTCCATATCCTACATTACTTTAAATAGCCATAAAGACATTTTAATCTCTGAGTCATCACTTCAAAGTTTTTACCAAAGTATCAGAGTTTAGATGGGATTCTTTTCTAACTTAGTATGCAATGTCTCTAAAAATCTAAATTGGTTAATAGAAAAATAAGATAAACAGCTTTGAATTTTCCAGTACTCAGATGAAGAAGCGTCTTACTAGTAGGTATCTTGCACTGTAAAGGAGCCCTGGTGGTGCAGTGGTCAAGCACTCGGCTTCAAACCCACCAGCCACCCCATGGGTAAAGATGTAGTAGTCTGCTTACATGAAGATTTACAGCTTTGGAAACCCTATGGGGCAGTTCTACGCTGTCATATACAGTTGCTATGAGTTGAAATCAACTTGAAGGCAATGGGTTTGGTTTTTTGGATCCTGAACTGTGCTAGACAGAGATAGTAATGAATAAACAGCATGGGGTTGCTGACCTTAAGAAACTTTCCATCTACTTGGGGAAACTACATGGGAAACTATAGCTAATGAGATAAGATAAATGCTCTATTGTGTGGTATGCAGAACACAGATGTTTACAGATAAAAAGATAAACCTACTCTCATATCGGGTAGAGAGACAAATGCGGCTGGAGACGTGAGGTCTCTTACAGAGGGGCTTAGAAGTCTGGCAGAAACACTTGGATTTGGTGTGTTAGCAAAAAGGGCAGTGAGAAGTTTTGCAAAAAGCATAATGCTAAAGAAAGACTGGCATAGCAACTGTATGTAGGATGAATTTAGATACGGGAAAAGGAGTTACAAAAAAGAATCAGCTAAGCCAACTAGAAAACTGATTAATACAGGTACAATTTTCTATTAGTGCAGTTTAAGCAGTGTCTCACAAACAACTAGTGGATCTTTCAAAAATTTTAATTACAATATATATGCTGTCTCTCTCTGTAAAGTATATGTCAATGAATACAGGCAGGTGAATTAAAAAAAAGAGGTAAAGAAAATAAGGAAGCATAATTAACTAATTTTAACCTGAAAATTGTTGATATGAAAGTATTTGTAACTCATTTAAAATTAATGTGAAAATAAAATTTAAATGGCTTTCTTAGCATTGACTGTAATTCTAGGAAAATTCTAATGTACACTTCTGCTCTACTGATCATTAAACTCATTTTAAAAAACATGAAATGCATGATTCTTACCGTGTTTCATTTTGTTATCAATTTAACATTTATGCATACCAAGAATAAAGTAAATTTACTTTGTCACTCAACTCAGCACATTATCAAAAAGCACAATGTAATTACACTTAGCTTGAGTGGATAAGTAAAACAAATACATATTGATTTTTACCTTTGCTTTAGTCGTCTTTTGGCTGTTGTGGGAACATTAGCACCATAGCCATAGGAAAACAGGATCCTTTCAGCCTCATCTTCATTTTCAACTGGAAAATATTAAAGTATATGATATGACATCTTTTTTTTTTTCTTAAAAAGCATGGTAGAAGTGAAAATAAAAGAGATCATAATAACAAATTAGGGAGCATAAGAACATTAAAAAGGACAAATACGTAATCTCAAAACGGCCCATTTGTAAGTAGAAGCCTATTTCTTAAAGCATATGTTTGCCTGTATTTGCTCCATTTATTTTTAAAAGGTGTGAGGGATTGCATCATATGACAAATTCAGTTTTCTTGCCATAAAGCATAACAATACACATGTATTGATCCTCAATGATTCAAAGGCTTTTTGCATGCAATGTATGTTATGTAATTGAACAAATAATGATACCATATCAATTCACTACTTCCCTTCTTGATAAAAGAAATGACTACTTTAAGAAAAAAAAACTGTTGAGAATATACACAGAACATACACTAATCTAACAGTTTCTACATGTACAATACAGTGAAATTGATTACATGGTTTAAGTTGTGCAACCATTCTCACCATCTTTTTCTGAGTTGTTCCTCCCCCATAACAAACTCACTACCCCCAAGGTTCCTTTCTAATCTTCTGAGTTGCTGTTGTCAATTTAATCCCATATAGATAGTTCTTAAAAGAACACAATGCTCAAGGCAGACATTCTTTACTAGTTAAGCTAAACTACTGTTTGGTTTTAAGAAGGCTTCAGGAGGTAGTTTTGGTTTAAGGTTTAAGGGTAAAGATTGTCTCAGGGCAGTAGTTCCAGAGGTTCACCCAACCTCCATTACATCTCAACATAAAGAAAACAAAAACCCTTACAACTGGACCAATAAGCAACATCATGATACAGAGAAAAGATTGAAGTTGTTAAGGATTCCATTTTACTTGGATCCACAATCAACACCCATGGAAGCCACGGTCAAGAAATGCAAAGATACACTGCACTGGGCAAATCTGCTGCAAAAAAACCCCTTTAAAGTGTTAAAAAGCAAAGATGTCATCTTGAAGACTAAGGTGCACCTGACCCAAGCCATGGGGTTTTCAATCGCTTCATATGCATGCAAAAGCTAGACAATGAATAAGGAAGACCGAAGAAGAATTGATGCCTTTGAGTTATGGTATTGGTGAAGAATACTGAATATACCATGGACTGCCAGAAGAAACAAATCTGTCTTGGAAGAAGTACAGCCAGAATGCTCCTTAGAAGTGAGGATGGTGAGACTTTGTCTCATGTATTTTGAACATGTTATCAGGGGGAACCAGTCCCTGGAGAAGGACATCATGTTTGGTAAAGTAGAAGGTCAATAAAACAGAGGAAGACCCTCAACAAGATGGACTGATACAGTGGCTGCAACAATGGGCTCAAACATGGCAACAATTGTGAGGATGGCACAGGACATAGGGTCACTATGAGTTGGAAATACCTTGCCAGCCCCTAACAACGACAACAAAAGAGTTAGGTAGAAGAAGAGACAACAAAAGTGATGGAGAAGAATCAAAGGCAGGTGATTCAAGCAGCAAGAGAACAAAGTTTTGAGAAGTGGGACAAATGCCTAGCAGAGGCTACAAGTAGAATGAGGATGCACAGCAAACAAGTCACTGAATTTGACAACTAGAAATTTGATTTTCTTTTTATATTGAGTTTATTTAGCTTCTAGGTAATACTTACACTTTTTACCAATTTATGAGATCTTTGAGAACTAAACTCAAATATCCAAAATACACTTATTTGATTACAAAAAGGGATTCGAATTTAAACAGGATACTTTAAGTTGCCATGGTTATACCTTAATAAAGAAAGCTCAATCACCTTCATGTCTGCTGAGATTATCTCAATTAGCTCAAAAACCCTTGACAAATTATACTCATTGAAGTAGTGTAAGAAATGCTTTGCGCTCACACTATGGAAATTTTTGGTTAACCAATAATGCATTAAAAAAAGGTAGTAATATTCTCAATTTCCAGTCTGAACTGATAGAGAATAACCTACTTTCTTGATCTTCCAAGTACAATACATTTCATTCTAAGATGGTTTTAAGATTCTTCACACATCACAGAAAAAATAATTTCTATACTCTTCTAAAGATTTTATTTTTATTTACATATATGGAAGAGTTGAATGAACTGTGCTGCTGTTATGCGTCATCAAGTCGATTTTGACTCATAGCAACCTTATATGACAGAGTAGAAAATGGCCCTCCCTGTAGGGTTTCTTAGGCTGTAATCTTTACAGGAGCAGATTGCTAGGTCTTTTCTCCTGCAGAGCCGCTACTGGGTTCAAATCGTCGACCTTTCAGTTAGTGCCAAGCGTTTATCCATTTCAACACCAGGGCTCCTTGAATGAACTGTACACATAACCAAAATCTGGATTCTAAATTAAACAGTTTACTATATTTGCTTATCACACATCTATCCATGCCTGTATCTGCCCACAAATTTATCTCATTTTTTTCAATGCTTTTCAAAATAAGTTGCAGGCATCCATACACTTTGCTTCTAAACAGTTCAACATATAACTCATCAACTATAGTTCAATATTTATTTATGGTTCTTTTCTAAAAATAAAATTTACACACAGTTAATGGTACAAATCTTAGCTTTAGCATTCAATGAGTTTCTGAGAAATATATACCCACGAGCAATCTAAACCTTATCAAGATACAAAACATTACCATCACCCCAGAAAGTTCTCTCATGCCTCTTTTCTCAGTTAATTCTTGGTTCCAACTATCCTTAGAGGCAACCACTGTTTTCATCAAAGACTGGCTTTATTTCTTTTAGAACTTTATATAAATTGAATCATAAAGTAAGAGCTTTTTCAGGTAAGGCTTCTTACACTAAGCATAACAACCATGTTGTTGAGTGAATCAGTGTTTTTTTTTTTTTTTAGTATTTCCACTGTAAAAGGAGCCCTGGTGGTGCAGTGGTTAAGCACTTGGCTACTAACAGAATGGTTGGGAGAAAGATGTGGCAGTCTGCTTCCGTAAAGATTACAACCCTAGAAACCCTACAGAGCACGTTTACTATGTCCTCTAGGGTCGCTATGAGTCAGATTTGACTAGACAGCAATGGGTTTGTTTTGATTCCACTGTATGAATGTGTGATGGTTTAATCATTTTCATGTTGATAGATACCTGGGCTGTTGCCAGCTTTTTTACTATTATGATTAAAGCTGCTATAAATATTCTAGAAGTCTTCTTGTATGTAATCTTTTCTTTTGGGTATATAACTAGGAATGGAATTGTTGGGTAACTGGATAGGTTGTTTGGTTTTATGAGAAACTGCCAGTTGTTCCACATTCTCACCAACACTTGGTATAGTCAGTTTTTCTAATTCTAGCCATTCTTATGGGTGTGTAGTAGCACCTCATTGGGCTTTTAATTTGCATTTCCCTTATGACTGACTGCTGAGTACTTTTTCATGTGCTTATTGGTCATATATCTTCCTTATGAACTGTCTGTTCAAACTTCTGACCGTGTTTCAAACTGGATTTTCTTTTTATCACTGAGTTGTATGAGTTTTTTATATATCCTGGTGTATTAGTTTCCTACTGCTGCTGTAACAAGTTACTACAAACTTAGTGTCTTAAAACAACTCAAATTTATTATCGTACAGTTCTGGAGATAAGAAGTGCAGGCCTTTCTTCTGAGGTGCATCTGGCTGGACTCGAACTACCAACCTGTAGGTCAGCAGCCAAGTGCATTAACCATTTGCACCACCCAGGGACTTCTGTAATCACCTTATAGCCTGCTAAATTTACTGAGCCATTGTAGTGTCTGTTTTGTAATCTGCAAATACAATTATACTCCTTCCTTCTGATATTTATATCTTTTATTTCTTTTTGCTTGCCTTATTTCACTGGCTAAGAGCTCAAATGTTTAATAGAAGTGGTTAAAACCTAAACCTTACCTTTTCTCTACTTGAAAGGGGAAAACATTCAATATTCGACCATTAAAAATAATATTAGCTGTAGGGTTTTTGTAGATGTCTTTTGACAGACTGGCAAAGTTCCCTTCTATCCCCATTTTGCTTAGAGCATTTGTCAGGTCTGGTATCAGGGTAATGCTTGCCTCATCGAAGAAGGTGTGAAGTGATTTCCCTGATGTTATTTTAGAAAGTCTGTGTAAGACTAGTATTATTTTTTTTAATGATGAATTCATCATTAAAACTATCTAGGCCTACAGTTTCTCTGTGAGAAGATTTTTGATAACGAATACAGTTTCTTGAATATGGAGTTATTCACATATTCTGTTTTATACAGTTTTGCTAAGTTGTATTATTCTTCAATGAATTTACCCATTTTATTTAAGTTCTAAATTTACTGGCATTAAGTTTTTCCATAATATTCCCTTAACGCCGTCTTACAAGTTTGTAGGATCTGTACTGACATACCTTTTTTCATTCCTGATATTGGTAATTTGTACTCTTTTTATCTAGTTTAGAGTTTATTAATTTTTTTGATCTTCTTAGAGAACCAACTTTTGGTATTGTTAACTTTCTCTATTTGTCAGTTTTGTATTTCACTGATTTCTGCTCTTATATTCATTATTTAATTTTTTCTACTTGGAGTTTACTTTGCTCTTCTTTTTTAATAGCATTTTAGGTAGAGCATTAGATCACTGATTTTACACCTTTCTTCTGTTCTAATATAAGCACTTAAAGCTGTACGATTCCTTCTAAACACTGTTTTAGCTGTATATGACAGATTTTAGTATGTTGTATTTTCATACCATTCAGTTAGAAATACTTTCTAATCTTGTACTCTTTCCTTTTTTTGTTCCTCAATTCCTATCTTTTAGACTATTTGAAAAAAATTTTAAAAAAATATAATAATTTATCTATCAGCTTTTAGCTACATCACTCCACTTTATCTTTTTAGTTGATGCTCTAGGTATCACAGTATACATTCTTTATTTTTCAGTCTTAAGTATTAACATTATACTGTTTCATGTAAAATGTAAGAACTGTCACAGTCTTGAGTCTTCTTAGCGATAAAAATGGTATGTTGTTCCATTTATTTAGGTATTTTTTAATATCCTTCAATAAATTTCACAATTTTGTATGTAAAGGGTCTTGTGCGTTATGCATTAGCTTTATGCCTACATACCTTATATTGCGTATTACTATTATAAATAATATACTTACCTTTAAAACAGGATATTTTTGTTTGTTGCTGGTATATGGAAATGTAACTGACTTAATTTCATCAGGATCTTAAACACTCTTTTAATTCTATTTTGTCTAATAGGTTCTTTCGGGTTTTCTATACAGATAATCAAATTATTTGCACATAATAAAAGTTTGTTTTAATTTTGATTTCTTATTTTCTTCTTTGTCATTTTCTCGTATTGTGTCAACTTCATCTTGTCCCTAACTTTAAGAGAATACTTTAACATTTCACCAGTAACTGTGATGTTTGCTACAGTACATTATTTTTTTTAAAAAGTCATAAATAACAGTGGCATTCTTCTATAATTGGGAATAAACTTCAATTGAAGCTGAATGTGAATCTAGACAAAGTTATTCTAATTATTTTTAGTTTGTTTTCATATAAGGATACTTTTTTTTGATTAATGTAAGAAAAACTTTTACTTCAATCTGATCACTTTCTCTATATTCCATTTCCAAGGTCAATGCCTGATAACTGCAGTGGAATCCAAATGTATATTCAATTTCTTCATTGCAGTCAGTAATCTTTATAGAATACAGATTTGATCATATCATGCCTGTTATGGATTGAATTGTGTCCTCCAAAAATGTGTATCAATTTGGCTAGGCCATGATTCTCAGTACTGTGTGATTGTTCACCATTTTGTCATCTGATGCGATTTTCCTATGTGCTATAAATCCTACCTCTATGATGTTAATGAGATGGGATAAGCAGCAGTTATGTTAATGAGGCAGACCTCAATCTATAAAGTTAGGTTGTGTCTTAAGCCAATCTCTTTTAAGACATAAACGAGAGAAATGAGCAGACAGAGAGAGGACCTCATATCACCAAGAAAGTAGTGCCGGGAGCAGAGCACATCCTTTGTACCTGGGGTTCCTGCATGGAGAAGCTCCTAGACCAGGGGAAAACTGATGACAAGCATCTTCCTCCAGAGCTGACAGAGAGAGAAAGCCTTCCCCTGGAGCTGATGCCCCGAATTCAGACGTCTAGCCTACTAGACTGTGGGAGAATAAACTTGTTTGTTGAAGCTATCCACTTGTGGTATTTCTGTTACAGCAGCACTAGATAACTAATATAATGCCCTTGCTTTAATGCCTTGCTATTGTCTTTACTAAGACAGATAAAGTAAAATTCCTTATTATGGAAAATTTCTTCTTAAGATTAGGCCCTTCAGAAGGCAGAAGGGGACAGGAAAGCTGGTGACAGGGAACCCAAGGTTGAGTAAGGATAGTGTTGATGTGTTGTGAGGTTGTTAACCATTGTCATAGGGCAAAATGTGTACTAACTGTTAAAAGAGAAACTATTTTGTTGTGTAAGCCTTCATCTAAAGTGAGAACAGGAGCACAACTGGAAGAGTGTAGTCAATGTCACTGAACTGTGCATGTAGAAATTTTTGAAACGGTGTATCTTTGGCTATGTATATTTTCAACAACAACAACAAAAAAGGTTGAGAAGGGAGAGGGTTGACATGTTGTGGGGTTGTTAACCAATGTCATAAAACAATGTGTACTGACTGTTTCATGAGAAATTATTTGTTCTGTAAGCCTTCACCTGAAGTACAATTAAAAAAGAAAAAAGAAAAGATTAGGCCCTTGTTTATCTTTCTACCTTTTCATATTCTGCCATTTCCCAATATACGTTATTATTTTGAAAGTTCCATAATTTCTCTTATTTCCATAACTTTGCATATGTCCCACTGTCTATAATGTACTTCTGCATCAAACACAGTATAGTTAATGAATTTCTATCCACTCTGCAGGACTCTGTTTAAGAGTCATCTCCCCTCTTAGAAAGTCCTTACCTCCAAGGTAGAATTAATGTATGTTCTAGTCTGTATTTCCACAGAGTACTGTATGTCTCTTGCTTATAGCACCTTTCCCAGCAGACCAGACTAGGAACCCCTATAAAGCTAGGACTATTTGCATGACTCCATACTCCCTTTCATGGACTATGTAAATGGTAATTGTTGAACGAGTGAATTAAGATAAAATCTATCATACATGGCCTACTTTTTCTTTGCTCCCAATTGCTGGAATTAAGATTAATTTTTTAAATATAAAGTACTCTTTAGAAAATGATCACCAATTATATTTTAATGAAATCCACAAAAGCAGTTTTAGAACTAATGCCAGATTTGTGTTGCCAGTAAAAAAAAAAAAATCACGTGTGTGAGAGAGACTTACTTTCTGCAGTTTGCATTATTATCTCATCAAGCTCTTTTTCCAGTTTCTCATAAATATCTAGCCTTGCCTGATGCTCAGAGTTCTGTGCTTGAAGTTCAGTAATGCGTTTTTCAGAAGAGGCTTGGAGACTATAAAATTCTTTAGTTAAAACCTAATAGTGAAAGAAAAAAATTTTACTAAGGCAGAATTAAATGAGTTAACAGTTAAGACAAAAATGTGATACAAAAAATATTTTTAGGCCTTTTTCTCTTTTTTAATAAATTAAACAATAAAAGTAGCTTAATTGAGATGGCTAATGAGGAAGTAAAATACATTATTTCTGAGGTAAATAATTCAGTTGTTTTTAACTAAAAATTACGAAGCACCTTATATAAGCTGAATAAAAGATAAATTAAAAACTTAGAAATAGTTATAAGAGTAAGATTTGCATTGCTGTTGTTGTAGGTGCTATCAAGTCGGTTCCTACTCATAGTGACCTTATGTACAAAAGAACAAAATACTGCCCATTCCTGTGCCATCCTCACAATCCTTGCTATGATTTATTAGCACTGGCTTGTTGGACTTAAAAAAATGCAATAATGTTAAACTTATCTGGAGGTCACTTATCTGGCAATCTCAGCTATTTGAGAAAGGTTTACAAGTAGCCTAAATGTAACAAAGCCGTATGTGAGAACTATATACTCATAACCAGTCCCTCAGTTTTCCACTAGTGCTTATTTAACCTATAAGGTGCCATCGTGGTTCACTGGTTAAAGCGCTTGGCTGCTAACCAAAAGGTCGGTGGTTCGAACCCACCTGCCGCTCAGTGGGAGAAAGATGTGGCAGTCTGCTTCCATAAACATTTATAGTCTTGGAAACCCTATGGGGCAGCTCTACTCTGTCCTCTAGGGTTGTTATGAGTTGGAATTGACTAGATGGCAATGAGTTTGGTTTGTTTTCTACCATGGTTTTAAGATTTTTGATTTCCTGATCAGCAATAAATTGAAACCAACAAATCAAAGGGTAACTGTGAAGTGCCCTTGGGCAGCATCAAAAAATGCCTTTGTAAAGAAAGGATGAAAAAGTTTCTTTAAAAAAAAAAAAAAAGTGATGTAAAGAAGCATGGAAATTGTGGCATTTTGTGTAACCAAAAAAAAAAAAAAAATCCTACATTCTTAATGCTATCTCATTACAGGAATCACCAAGATGACAAATTAACTAAAAAGAGAGACACTTCTAAAAACAAAGGAATGTATAATGTCTAGGGTAGATTCTAATCTTCAGAAAAGTTCATGTACTAATACAGACCAAATTATGGAGCAGTGCTACACCTGCTTCCTAATACAGCATAAGTAATGTACTACTTCCTGAGAAGTAATAGAATATTATGATTAACAATACATTTTAGAGCCAGAAAGATTTCCATTTCAATCCTGGCTTTGACACTTATAAGCTGTGATCTTCAGCAATTATTTATTCTTTCTAGGCCTACCTCAAAACACTATTGGAAGGATTAAATGAGATGATAAATTCACAGCACTTAGCAGTGTGCCTGGAATACAGTAAGTGTTGAAAAACAGTATTGCTATACAATTATGAAAACTTTTGTATTAAATAGCTCATAAAAATAGAGCTCACTGATTTAATTACCCTGAGTTCTCCATAATTAAACAATTCCAAAGACAACTTACTTTCTTTAATGACATAAACGTCACCTTAACAAAAGTATGTGATGGTGTGCTTTCTGTGATGTAGAAAAAGATAAAGACCTATTTATAGTTCTTAATAAGCAGAAATTATAATTTAATTTTTCCTTAATTCATTCTATCTTCTTTCCTTCAATTAATTCCATCAAAAGAACCCAAAAGTAAGTAAGACAATTATCCCCCTTCCTCCCTTAAAAAAATTCCTTCAGAGCGTGAATAAAGAGAAGCATGGGAATAATATTTATAGGATGATTTCTAGTGTCCCTTATTGGGTCAGAGAAACAAAACAAAGTAAAAATCACAAATTCATGTTTTAACATTATTTCTTCTTTATTCATGCAGACTGAGAATGTGTTTTCTAGAAAGGTATTAATTTATTACAATAAAACCACTGCTCAGTGAAACAATCTGGGCTTTATGGAGCTCAGTATATTGGGATGTAACTCAGTAACAATCTTGTGGCTGATGACAATTATTAATCCCCTGCCAAAAGACAGGATCAGTAAGGGGAGTGTTGAATGACTATTCCAAAGCATAACTGATACTTTTCATCTGTACCCCACTCCCTCCAACAAAAACACCACAGAAAGAAAACCTGGAGAAATGGATATGTAAAAAGATGAAGAATCAGAGTGCTAAAGAGGGGTATTCCATAAAATATTTTAAGATCTTTTAAAAGAAGTATTAGTTTGAAAAATACACTTTAAAATTCTCTCTTCATAACTTGGAGGAAACTTCTGATTTGGGGTATTTCCCAACACATTTAGTGCCCCGTGGTGAAGAATTCCCTTTTACTATAGGTTTCTCTGAGTGGCTGTTATGCCTCAATTTATTACTATTTCTGAAAAGCCAAAGAAGAACGCAGTTATTGGACTTACGGAAAAGCTTTACTGAGCTTTCAGGAAAAACTAACATATGAACATTTGAGTTTAAACATGAATGCATAAAATAGGTCAATTAGTTTTAGGAATCTATTATATATCAAGTTCTTTAAATAACAGATACATGACTGAATGATAATACAAAATTATTGAAAATAAAAAATTCAGTTCCTCAGTTGCACCAGCCACACTTTATGCGCTAAATATCCACATGTGGCTAGTGGCTATTAAACTGGACAGTATACATACTAGATCGTTTCCATCATCACAGAAAGTTCTTTTCAAAGCCCTGAACTGCTAGTTTCTTGAAGACAGGAACTGTTTCTTGTTCAAAGTTGTGTGCCTAATCAGGCTGAGTACTGTGCTTATTGCATATCAGATGCTTGGTTAGAAATTACCAAAAACTATCAATTCCATTAACTATGGGTCAGATTCTGGGTAGGTCCTGGAATATACTGATCATATGAAAAAGGCCCAGTCTTTGCCTCTGTGGAACTTTTAAACTAGTGAGGAGAATGAACAAAATAAAAATCACTCATAATTGTACCATACAGAAATAAATTTTAATATTTTGATATATTTTCTTCAAATCTTTCTTACTATGTATATTTATGGCTTTTATTGAACGTACAACCCCCAGTCAAGATCATGCTAGTGACATTCTTGTACCCTTCATTTAATGATTATAATGAGCATTTCCCCCAAATCTAAAATATTCTAGAACATGATTGCATACAATTATACAATGCATGAATATAGCAAAATACATACTTTATAATATACTAACTGAAAACTGTTTATCTACTATCGGACTTTTGGAGCCCTGGTGGCAGAGTGGTTAAGAACTCAGCTGCTAAACAAAAAGTTGGCAGTTCAGATCCACCAGCCTGCTCCTTGGAAACCCTATGAGGCAACTCTGCTCTGTCCTATAGGGTTTCTATGAGTTGGAATTGACTCAATGGCAACAGGTTTGGTTGTTTTTAATTGGACTTTTAAGTTACTTCCAATATTTTACTATAATAAATAATGGTGTGATGTACATCGTTAATAAAAACCTTTATCAGCATCTCTTATAATTTCTTTAGATAAAATTCCTTTAAAAAAAATAGTGGATCAATTTTTTATTGCTTTTAATATAGATTACCACACTGTCCTCCAAAACAGTTGTTCCATTTTTTAACTGCATGCAATTTGCATTTAGGGGTATTCCTGTCAGCACATTAAAAACAAACAAAAAGACCTATATAAAGGTAAAAAAGTTTAAATTTACATTTCTTTAATTATTAGTAAGAATATGTATTTTCATCCATTATTAGCAATTTGCATTTCTTTTCTTGAAAATGGTCCACTATTCTTTCCACTTATTTATCTAGAAGAAGAAGGAATGTCTTCTTGATAAAAGATCTTTTAAAATTAAGGACACAGACCCTTTGCTATATATACACAAATATTATTTTGTAGTTTTCATTTTTATGTTATTCAGACTTTTTAAACACACGGAAAGTGTTCTTTTTTTAAATTTTTCCATATGATTTCTTTCCTTGCTTTAACCAACAGAAAGGCCATCTCCAAACTAATGAAATATAAAATTTCATCTGTATTTACCTCTAATAGTTTTATGGTTTCATTTTTTACGTTCAGCTTAGTAGTTCATCTGAATTTTATTTTGGTATATGGTGCGAAGTATGGATCCAACTCTTTCTAAATATCGACAAGATTATCACAGCACCATTTATTGTCCTATTCGTCATTTCCCCACTAATTTGAAATATTATCTCTATCATGAGTACATTCTTTTTTTTGGATGATAAAAATATTAACTGGCTTTAATTGTCCATAGATTTTTTTCCCCAATATTTGTCATTAATATATTTTTACTAGTGTTTCCTAATTTTTTTTTATTGTACTTTAGATGAAGGTTTACAGAATAGTTTCTCATTAAACAGTGCACATATTGTTTTATGACAATGGTTAACAACACAACAACATGTCAACACTGTCCCTTCACCATGAGTAAGTTCTTAAAATATATGTGAATCTGTTTTCTGGGCTTTGTATTTTGTACTACTTATGTTCTTTCATTTTGTGTTTTAAATATTCTTGCCTTGGAATACATTTTAAAATGGGATATACATATTTCCTCTCATAAATTAATTTAAAAAATTATTTTAAAAATACTGACTATTATTATATATTTTTCTCTTTCAGCTGTACTATAGAATTATACTTCGTTCGGTTACAACAAGCATGCTTTCACCTGATTAATGTGAATATACAATATTATTTGATGAAGATTGATAAATGTATAATACTGAATATTCCCTTCCAGAAAGATGGGGTTCACTCCTTCTTATACCTCAGTAAATTTCTACAGCTTTCTTGATATAGGCCTTGCACTGTTCTTACTAAAAATATTCCAAGTAATAGTATATTTTTGATGCTGTTCTTTTTTGACTGTATACAGGACAGTGCTAAGTCCTACAGGGGAAATAAAGTTCAGTATGATATACTACGATATAGTCTCGTACTTGAGCTTACATGCTATGCTAATGTCAAAAGAAAAGCTTTTACACGTACCTCCAATTTTTTCTGGTATTTTTCACACTCCAACTGACACTGTGTGAGATTTCTTGCAGTTTCTTCTTGTAGAAGTTGAACACGCTCACACTCAAAAGATTTTAATTTACTTTGATGGAGAAATTCTGTCACTTTGCTTTCCTCATTAAGTTGTAGTTCTCTGTATCTGGAAGAAGCAAAATGGTTATAAGACCTCTCCAAAGAAAGAGGTCTCAACAATTTATATAAACATAACATTACTTCTACTTCTCCCATCCCCCCTCCCAAATTTATACAGTTAATAATTTATATCTATTCAGTAAAGCTTTTATAAATAATTCAGATAAGCAAATATATGGACATATGTAAGTCTAGAGCACATACCATATCAATTAACTTCCTCCATTCCTCCCTTATTTTCTTTTCATCCATCCCCAAATAGTATTTTCTATTATTATTATTTTTTGCAAGTCACTTAAAATTAAAAAAAAAATAAGAGAAAGTTTCAGTTATACTGCTTAGAATAATTTTATTTCAACATATTTCATAGGTCTTCTTAATTTTACAGCATTGTCTCCAAGTATGCTATTTTGTTCTAAGTCTAAATAATGCCAGATGGAGAAGTATATCATGAAATATGTACATTAAACTGCAAACTCTTGAAACACTTGTAAAATAAATTTTTACATTAGTAAATATCATATATATTTGGCTACTACAATAAAACATAATGTAGAAACAGGAAGATAAATATAGAACTACAAGTAGTCCTTTACAGCACAAATAAGGAACACTCTCGTCATTCCAGGTATAACTAATAATAAAAACATTTCTATTTAACATATAAATCACCACATACTATAAATCTGAAAATATTTCAAGTTGATTATGTTCTAACAAAAAGTAAAACACAGATACAGTATGCCACTTCAGGGAGCTATGATGAACCCAGTACAGTGCCAGATATGGTATTAAAATTCATTTATTCAAATATTTACTGAGCTAGTCACTATACTTTGTAACTGACCTACAATGATAGACAAGGTATTATTTTTTCTCTTAAGGAACTTAAGACTTCTCTGGCAAAGAGAGGCAATTATACAAGAAAATTCAATAGAGTATTAAAACTAAACTAGAGATAAAAAAAAACCAAAACTCATTACCGCTGAGTCGATTCTGACTCACAGCGACCTTATAGGACAGAGAAGAACTGCCCCACACGGTTTCCAAGGAGTGGCTGATGGATTTGAACTGCTAACATTTTGGTTAGCAGCCTGAACTCTTAACCACTGTGCCACCAGGGCTCCTAGAGTATGATAAGTACTTCAATAGGGTAATCCCTAGGTTCAATGCGAACACACAGGAAAGAAACCTAACTTGGTTTGTGTAGGTGTGTGTTTGGATGTGTATGTAAGACAGCAGGAGGTATGGGGTGGAAGATGTTCTAGGCAGAAGAAACAAGAGCACATGCAGGGCAGGGAAGCTGAAAGCATAACCTGCTATGCAAAACTGTTTTGTTCATAGTATCTCATTTAATCCTTACAACAACCCTATTAGGTGTTTTTGCAGAAACAATGAGAAAATTGATGCTCAGAGATATTGAATAATTTCTTTAATCAGGAAGAAGCTGTCTTAAATTTCAACATGGGACCCAAATCCAGATGTTTGATTCTACAGCAATGGTCTTTCCACTACTATGTGAAACTCTTAACTGATATTTCTGAGGTCAGATAAACTTTGTTTTTTTAAAGGCCATGTCACTCCTATGACAACAATAACAATAGCATTCAAAGTATAAGCAGAGAAGGCAGACAACTGGATATCTGCTGTAGGATATTTTACTCTCAGCACTTTTATCTTTGGTAAAAGCATCTTGCATTCAGATTGGTAGAAGTTCAATACAATGAATACCTGTACATATTCAAGGCGTTGAGGTAAATTTCAGCTTTTCGGCATGTCCTGGTATTAATTATTTTAAAAAACCCTTTCAGCTGACAATTGTATTTGGAAAAAAAAAAGTCTGTTTATATGGAAAAGCAAACATGGATAAAAATATTTTCTAGTGAGACAAAATTCACATATTGTAAAATTCACCCTTTTAAAGCATATAATTGAGTAGTTTTTAGTATATTCATAAGGTTGGACATTACCACTATGTAACTCAGAACATTTTCATCACTCCAAAAAGAAACCCCATATTCATTAGCAGTCATTCCCCATTCCACCCTCCTCCCAGGCTTTAGCAATGGCTAGTCTACTTTCTGTCTCTATGGATTTGCTTATTCTGGACATTTCACATAAATGGAACTTTTTTGTGGCTTTTTGTGTCTGGCTTCTTTCACTTAGCTTCTTCATGTTTTCAAGGTTCATCCATTGTTGTAGCATGAATCAGTAAGTACTTCATTCCTTTTTCTGGCTGAATACTATTCCATTATATAAATTTATTACATTGTGTTTACCCATTCATCAGTTGATGGGCATTTGGGCTGTTTCTACCTTTTGACTATTATGAATAATGCTGCTACAAACATTAATGTACAAGTTTCTGTGTGGACACGTTTTTATTTTTCTAGGAGTGCAACTGCTAGGTCATATAGTAACTCCATGCTTAACTGTTTGAGGAATTGTCAAACTGTTTCCAAAGTGGCTGCCCTATTTACATTCCCACCAGCCATGTACGAGGGTGGTGATTTCTCCATATTTTTGTCAACACTTTTTATTGTCTATCGTTTGTATTACAGCCATCCTAATGGTTGTGAGATGGTGAAAAGATTCTTTTATTAAAAAAATTCACTCATTCAATATTTTATTCACATGAAAATGTCCCTGTACTCCTTGGGGCAAGTAATTTCATAAATATAAATGTAAAAAATATGTGAGAAATCAGTATCTTTTTTGTATGCTAAATAATGGAACACACATAGACCACATTACTGAAATAAATTTTGGATAAGATATTTAGAATGTGATATTGATCTTTAAAATATTTTGTTTTGAAAGAATTAAACTGTAAGTTTTGCCTTTTTATGGATTCAGGACAGTGGGTGATTCTGAGATCAATGCCAACTTCAAGTAGGAATTAAAGACTTAAGATTCTAGCTCGACCTGTTCTTCTTATTTATTACATGGCACTTGAAAGTTACTTTTAGCACTAATATTCTTCCTCCATATTGAAAAGTTAAATAATAATACTATAAATTTCAGAATATCAAGATTAAAAAATTGATGCTTCTATAAACTAAATGATAACTAAACGATAATTTCTGTAACTAAATAATAAGGACTAGCCTATTCCCAAGTTGTTTTTAAGTGAAAAAATCTGTCTCAAATCATTATGCCTTTGTAATAGTTATAATAATTATTTTAATTTGTTAAATTGTACTATGAACATGTTGTACAAACATTATAGCTACAAAAGTAGCTCCAGCTGTGAGGTACAGATGAAGACAAGAGCATGGCCTGACAGTTTCAGGTAACTCCCTCTTATTTTGCTAGATGAATATTTTACTTTGTTGACTCAGACTTCTTATCTCATCCTCTTAATCTGAGCTTCTTATTAAAACTAGATCTGTATTATTCACACATTAACAACTTTTCTGCTTAACGTTCTAATTCAGCATAGTAACCTTAAGAGGTCACATTTCCTATAACACAACGCTCCCATTCCAGGTCCCACATTTAGCTAGATTTGTCTTTATGCTACATTTGTAACTGGCTTTTCATTTTCATAAAACCCATCTATGTGCTTTACCCCACTTTAAAAATAATAATATAAAGTCTTAAGATGCACTGTTTCCTCTGAAGGAATATTCATGGCAACAGAGACTTTGGGCTGGAAGTAAAAGAAGAAAAAATCTTCCAAGGTGAAAGGCAGGTATTACGTAGGGAGCTACAAAGAAGTTATTCCAGAAGAAATGCTCTCAGGCTACAACGAATCAAACTCCAAGTAAAATGTTCCGCAATGCTGAGAAATAACCGCAGGAAAGACATGAACAAGGTACTCGGGTCTCAGAAATGGGAGAACACAGTTGAACGAAAACACTGGATAAAATATTAAATAACAAAGGCTTTTAAAATAATATCAGCAGTCTTCACATATACAATACGATATGACAATAACATTCGAAGTATAAACAGAGTAGATAGACGTTAGATATTTGCTATACACTATTTCACTCTGTTGCCACACTCTGATGTATATCAGAGTTTATCTCTAACTACCAACAAAGTTATCCTTGAGTAAGAAGGTCATAGATCAATTATTAATTTTTTTTATTTTATCCCAGTTTTTTATTCCAATGAGAAACAACACTTGATCTTTGAATTTTGATATTTGAATTCTGTTCACACACACACAGAGTTCATGGCTTCTTCAGTGCTAAACTGGACATTTATTTTGAATCTAGTTATCTAATTTCATATGGTAGACAGACATTCTAAGGCAAAATACCCAAAAAGTATTGTATTCAGTGGTCCTTATATTAAGAAGTTTGGTTCAGTTTGGAAGTAAAGCAGTGTAATGGTTAAGGCAAGGCATTTGTCTGCATGCAGCAAGACGATTATGTGTAGACAAAGAGGACAGGACGTAGGACCCTGCTCCATGTAAGAACGGCAAAAGAAGCTCAGCAAAGTGACAGGATCTCCGGTTACTGGTAATAGTTCAAGGAAGGATTTTTAGTACTAAGACATAAGGCAGATTACCTGGGCAGAAAGTACTGAAAGGGACTCTAGGTCAATACAGAGAGAATACTCTGGCTTAGAAGAATATATGTGAGCAAGTAGTCTTGGCTGTGCCACTAAACCCCGTAAGGAACTGGGGCAGAGGCCGCTGATAAACTTTCTACACTTGAAACGGGTGCTTTGAAACAGAGATTGGTCTGAGTCTCCAGAAAAGGAGCCATCAGTGGATCTAGCTGTGGGAAACTGGAGGTGACAAGGACAGAAGCTAACATTTCTAATGAATTGGGAATTCAATCTTGGTTACTTAGGAGGGATACCAATCCTATTTTATTTTGATGTCTCTGAGTCTTCTTTCTCTCCATTGTTTTAAGAAGGCCTCACTAACTGATGTTCAATTCTATATGAATTATTCATTTGGTAGTGCTAATAACTAACCACACCTTAACTACTCTTTGCCTGTACTATTTCTAGTTCCCTGGGGATAAGAATTCATTCTCTTTCTTTTTG